TCTCTCTCTCTCTCTCTCTGTGTGTGTGTGTGTGTGTGTGTGTGTGTGTGTGTGTGTGTGTGTGTGTGTGTGTGTGTGTGTGTGTGTGTGTGCGTCATAGAAAATTGCCCGGTTATATTTATATACCGTATACATCTTGGCGGCGCCTGTTTCGTCGAGTACAGCAATGGGTTCAGCTCGTTGCTTTCGAGGAAAACGCTGAACGCTCCCGGCAATTCCACTTGTCGGGATCCCGCCTCTTCTGTCTCCGGTCCTCCACGTGGCTTCATGTCGCAGACCTACCGCCTCACACCTCGATGGAGAAGAGAAAGTCCCACTTCACTTTGCTTCACTGCAACCTGGAACCGGGGCGACAGTGCGTCAGATCTCAGGTCTCGTTATCACACTACCGACCCCGACTGAACCTGTTGCAGCGGGGTGCTGCTTTCTTCAAGCTTGAGCGGAGACCTCCACGTCGATTGAGTGGTTGAGGAATTGATTGAGCGATTGCTTTGACTGATTTATTGATTGATTGAGTGGCGATCTCCAGGTTGAATGGCTATCGGTGGTTGGTTGATTGATTGATTGATTGATTGATTGATTGATTGATTGATCAGGGATCTCCAGGTTGATTCCTTCATTCCTTCTTTCCTTCCTTCGTTCCTTCATTCATTCATTCATTCATTCATTCATTCATTCATCCATTCATCGATTGACTGATTGGTTGGTTGGTTGATTGATAGCTTGATTCACTGATCGATTGATTGATCGTTCGATTGATTGATCGTTCGATTGATGGATCGATCGATTGATCGGTCGATCGATTGATGAGTCGATGGGTTGACTGGTTGATGGGTTGATTGGTTGATAGGTTGATTGGTTGATGGGTTGATTGGTTGTGGGCGAGAATGGCCTCAAGAATGAAGATCTACGCACGGAGAACAGAGTAGATAACCACGACATCAACGGTAAAAACGAGATCAAACAAATATGTAATCAAAGAGAGAGAGAGAGAGAGGGAGGGTGGGGGGGGGGGGGGGGGGGGAGAGGAGGACTATAATCATATGAGGCAAATGCGATGAACGTAGTCATTGATGTGCACGGCCATGCACAGGTTACAATTCAGAATCCCATAAGAACAAGAAAGCACAAAAAGAAGCAGAAGAAGAAGTAGAAGACGTTGCTCGCATGAGAATGTTAACGGATGTCCCCAATTTCCACCTGGTTTATTCCACCTCCATATCTTGTGTCTTCCATGGCAAAAACGACTACCTTTACTGCAAAAACAATGAAATTAAATAAACTTTTTCAAAAAAATGCCACCTGGATGGCAGGACCTTGGCCAATATTGTTGGTTGCTATGCAGCATCCGTATTGGTCATTAGACACCTCTAATGTGGGTTTGGAGGGGGGTAGGGGGAGGGGTGCAAGTGACTGGCCAAAGATGCTCGGCACTAGCATCCATTCGCCGGTTCCCCCCCGTCAGCAATATGCCTGATCACCCCCCATCATCTTGATGAGTGATGAGGGGCTGATACAAGCCTTGCTCTGGCACACCACAGCTGTGGTGCAAACCTACCCCCTGGGCTGGGGAGAGTTCCAGGGGTGGTTGGTGTTCCCCCGTACTATACATAGACTACCGAGAGGATGAGATAGATTAGATAGATGCGGAATAATAAACATAGATAGGTTGAGAGAAGAATATAGATTAGTTGTTTAAAAATAAAGAAAAATGAAAGTAAAAATGCAACCTGGATGTGTCAGAGAATCCAAGTCACAGTTCGGAGAGGGAAAGGTGCCTCTTTCTCAGGGCATGCTCACACGGGGACCCCAAATCCGCAAAATATGCGGCTTTGGGAAGGGCCGATTTGAGGTTTTGGGCATGGTTCACGTCACACTGCTGCACCTTTTGGGAAGGTCAAGGCAGTCTGGAGAAATGGGGATTTTCGGAATATAGGTCCCCGTGTGAGTATGCCCTCAGGGGGGCTCGCCACACCAGTGTCGAAAAGGCTTAAATTTTCAACAACTGTCAGGCATTTTTCGACACTGGTGGGCTCTAAAAAGAAACCACCTTGGCCACACAGCCCGTTTCAACGGTCCCGGTGTGAGTATGCCCTCAGGGGGGCTCGCCACACCAGTGTCGAAAAGGCCTAAATTTTCAACAACTGTCAGGCATTTTTCGACACTGGTGGGCTCTAAAAAGAAACCACCTTGGCCACACAGCCCGTTTCAACGGTCCCGGTGTGAGTATGCCCTCAGGGCTGTCTCTTATACACATCTAGATGTGTATAAGAGACAGGGGCAAGTGCACCCGGTCACGGGGGCGAGGACCAAACAAAAAGATGGAATTTGTTTTTGTTTTTGTTTTTTCAAACAAGTATAACGCGCTGTCTCTTATACACATCTAGATGTGTATAAGAGACAGGGCATACTCAGGGCATACTCACGCGGGGACCGAAAGTCTCAAAAATTTCAGGCATTTGGTTCCGGTTGTTTACGCATTTGGTTCCGGTGTGGTCACACAGGCCGATTTCGTCCAGAAAGGAAGGATGAAGTCGCGACCCTGACACTTCGCACTGAGGGCAGGTGCACCCGGTCACGGGGGCGAGGACCAAACAAAAAGATGGAATTTGTTTTTGTTTTTGTTTTTTCAAACAAGTATAACGGGCGCGACCCTGAGACTTTGCACTCAGGGCAAGTGCACCCGGTCACAGGGGCGAGGACCAAACAAAAAGATGGAATTTGTTTTTGTTTTTGTTTTTGTTTTTTCAAACAAGTATAACGGGCAGGCCTTCGCTACAACATAAATGTTTCTGGTCGCATTCCGCGGCCCCACAGGCCACTGACAAAAGGGTCACGGTTTGAGGCATTTGGGTAGCAGGCCTCTCTAGTGTGACCCGAAAACTAGGGTCTTTTGGTCCTCGTGTGAGTATGCCCTCAGGGCATCAGGGCATACTCACACGGCGACCCCAAATCCGCAAAATATGCGGATTTGGGAAGGGCAGATTTGAGGTTTTGGGCATGGTTCACATCACACTGCTGTACCTTTTCAGATGGGACAAGGTCGCAGCCATCTCGAGAAATGGGGATTTGGTACTTGGCTGGTCACACCGCGCCATCCACAAATTGTGAAGAACTTTTGTGAATGAATTTTTCCCAATTTTCGAAGAAAATGCAAGAAATGAAATAGGGCATTTGCAGTCACCTCCAGAGGTGAGAGGTGACCTCAAAATCCCTTGCCCCGCGGCAGGCCGCTGATAAATGGGCACAAGAATAGTACATTTGCGAATCTGGTAGATTCGTGTCACCGGCCTTTTCCCCTTTTGGGGGGGATTTTGGGAATATAGGTCCCCGTGTGTGAGTATGCCCTCACACTAGCACTTTTTTTGCGTATTTATGAATGCAATTGTGGCTAGATGCATACATGTCCGTCTGTAAATTTGGTCAGAGACATTTATGATAGTGCCAGTGTGAGTAGGCCCTGATTCCATTAAACCACCAGTACTTCCTAAAGTCGCGCCCGTTAACGCTACGCGATTTTAGGAAATGTACGGGCCACTACAGGAGCGCTCAAATTCATCCAACTAGAAACGTTTCTACTCTATTTTTTTCCGGATGATACTGCTGATTTCAGCGGGTCTAATACCAATATTACTCACCATTTGTATTTTTTACTTTATTTACATGTATTTTATTTATAAAAGTTTCTTATGATTTTTCAAAATCTACTAGAGTGAAATTGAATTACTTAAAAGACAATATAAAAAAAAAACAATGCAAGAAATGACTATTATAATATTCTATATTTTATGAGAAATAACTAGAACTCAATCAATCGAAACAACGAAATCTATATTCAAATCAATAAGAATGATAAAATAATAGATACAATTATCCTATAATTTATAAAAGACAGTCTTGTATTTATGATCAAATAGGCTTATTTATATATACTAATTTAGTTTGTTTGAATTTTAGTACTAGCAACTCCTAAAATTACAATAAAAACACGTAGAATAAGTGACTCTAATTATCAAGTTCCTATAGAGAATGTATTAATATCCAGCATCTAAATCTTTTAATTTTCAAGATTTGAATGAACAATTCAGATATATTGATAATAAACTACAAAGTTTGAATTTAAGAATTAGTAATTCTACTTTTTTAATCAATTAATTAAAAACTAATTATACATAGTATATAATACTATAATTCAATAATATAAAATACAATATATTGTATAGTTGCACGAAAAAAAAAATACTTATTATCAATCCAATAACCAGACTAACTGCAAAACTTAAATGACTACTATAACGAAATAAGATCGAAGTTAACCATACAGATGTCTTAAGCTTCGAGTCGGAAGTCGAAAAAAGCAGTCGTTAGCTGGGTCAAGTACTGGTGGTTTAATTTTGGTCTTTTTGAAAGGGCGACAGCCTTGAGATATTGGGCGTCACTGCACTACTTTCCAAAGGCACAAACTGAAACTGAATTCCCTGCTAGAATATGGAAAGATACATTGTCATCCTCTTTAGTATTTTGTGCATGTGGATAGTAGTGCAGCGAGACCCATTATCTTTTCACCCCCATTGGGTAACACTCTTCCGATGGAGGTGGGGGAAGATGAAAAGGGAGGCACGGTTACTGACAAATGTTCGGTCCTTGTGTTAGCAGGGAACCCACCGTCGGCCCCAACCCTGCACCCTAAACGCTAGGACAAAAGGGCAAACATGTCGTTACCACCGTCCAGCCGCAACTGATTTGGATTTATTTTATTATGTCCATCTGATTACATCTTGATTGAAACTTGAATCTGTAATCCAGCGGCCTAGCTCGGTTGGTAAGACAAGCAAAATGACATCCAGGAGGTTTTGGGTTCAATTTCCAATGGCCTCATGTACCTTCCTGGGCAAGCTTAGCGCCCACCACCTAGAGATAGGCCGTGGGTCCTCCCGAGTGTCATTTAGCAGAGACTGTTGATGTTCATAGGGGGAGGGGACCGGAGAGGCGACACAGTGACTGACCCATCGAAGAAGTTCAGGATGCTACCGGCTGACCCCTGGTCGTTGTAACAGGTAGACAAATTTTTTCATACTCATTAAGATACAATGAATGTATATCACATTCGGTCAATTCCGCTTTTCGTTGCAACCAGAAAAGTGTAACTAGAGTGTGATACACACCCACCCTCCGAGAGATTTGTACTCATTCAAATACAACAAATGTGTATCGCATTCAGTCGATTTCATTCCTCTTACAAGCATAAACTTAAAGTGTAACTAGAGTGAGATACACACCTGCTATCCGCGTCTACATGCGAGACTATCGTCTAAATCCAAGGGGAAGTTTGCAACGAACACTAACTATACATGCTCGTGCAA